ATAGCGCTAGACTTAATTCCTTCTGAATCGTGAACTTGGTGGAAATCGAACACAAACATTACATATCCGAGGTGGGAGCAAATCCGGATTTTCTAGAGTTCCGCGGTCGCACGGTTCTCTAATTCTGAATTAGCCAATGTGGGGGAGCGACTTTGAATGCTTACTGTCCTTTTTACTGGATCACTTCTTATGCTCAGAAGTCTATTTCCATAGCAGTATAGCTGAGGAGAAGTATTTGTATCATAATTTCCCATAAAAGTTGGAGCAAGAGACTTGCCACGATGACATCTTAAGTTCAAACCGAGATGTCGCAATATAACTTATAAAGGTTGCTTTTAGCTTTTAGTTGCGCTGTAGACATTGTAGCTTTTTCAGTTTGGCTGAGTAAGCGAAAGTTAAAACGCTTGGTCCTGGTCATTTCGGAAATCAAAACCAAGGAAGTAATGGAGAGATGGCAGTTTGACATTCAAACTGAGGAAATGAATGAGGAGGGGTATGCTTCAATTCTCTTTTTCTCCACGCATGTGTCTCCTCTGATCTCTCAAATCACGCACTACCTTTTAGTGAAAACTCGACCAGACAGAAGGATGAGAAGAAGATAAAGCAAGAAATGTCTGATGTTATTCGGTGAGCACTAACGTGGTGCAGAGCTATTCTCTCTAACTTTGCTCAATAGAAGACTTGATTATAGCCTGATTATGCTTATTAGATGACAAAGGAGCTACAATTACTCATTTTCGGAGCATGATTTTCTTTCTTACAGACAAATAACAGCATCGGTTACATTCCTCCCACTTCTCGAAGAACCATGCTCTTTCGATGTGCTGATCTATACGGGAAAAGAAACTGAAGCACCTAGTGACTGGGTCGAGAGCAGTGCATGTCTCATAAAGAATAGCGAACAGGTAATACTTGAATCGTATCATTTTGAAACGTGTTTAACATTTTCACAAAAATTTGTTCCGCTAGGGTATAATGGATAAAGTTTTTGGCGTTAATCAATCCCGTCTGAGGGACGCGCGCCGCACTCTACTTCAATTCAGAATCGTAGTGGCCTAAATAGTGCGCATGTGGCCTATATAATGACTTGCTGTGGCTAGCCGATGTACAAGTTGGTGCTTTTATCCTCCCTGGTACCAACTGACCGACCCCGGAGGGATGGAAGGCTTGGTTGGCCTAGGCGGGTATCGATCCGGGATTGTAACCACTGACCGCTTTCTGAGTTTTCCATAGCTTTTTTTGAGTTTTTGAATCGCGTACAATGATACTTCGAGAACTTTTTCATCTTTTTTTTCATATCCTTCATCTTTATTGCCTTTCTGTTTTTCATTATAAGGATAACCTTTTCACCTTCAATATTGAATACGACGGAGGTAACTGCGTAGTTCTGAAATGTGTTTCTTGTACATTGTTTTCTATAATGAGAGACTCCATTGCGAACCCTGGAATGGATCACGATAACTTATGATCCCTTACAGTGATCAAAATTTTGAAATTTGAGAAGTGCATAGAGAGGGTTTGCAAAAATGTTGCTGGAAACGTTCTCTCTCAATGAAAAAAGAAATGTTGATCTCCCAATCCAAAAAATTTACTGAGAGCGTCCTGAAATGTCAAGATATCTCATCATATCTTCACGACATGTTCCAAGACAAAAACGTTTGTTGGAGAGGGTCGAAGCCCTTTCGAGGGCGTAAGGGGAGGAGCGGCGTGATAAAAGTGCTGAGAGTATGTCAATGTATCTTCCGGCAGATGGTGTTCTGTAAAGCACAAGTGGAATGTCTATAAAGCGATAGTAAGGACAATGATGTTTCACAAGTAGTTCATATAGGCAAGCAGAGACTCTCGATTGAAGAAATTGGCATCTTGATGAGGTAAATTTCTACTGTTGAGAATGAATAATGAAGAAGTGCGATTAGAAGGGCATGCGAAACACTTTGGCAGCTTCGTAGACGGTCTTCGAGGCAGTGCGCACACTTCATGTTGAAGACGTCCTCGCTGTACCAATACAGGACTTTGTTTTGCAGTATTTTACTTGTTACCCAAGAAATTTGCTTTTCGAGGTATGGATGTGGCTTGAGGGTGATCCTTTTGAGGCCTGAAGTGATGTAAAATGATACGAAAGTGCTAATACATACAATTGGTGGAGAGGTAGTGACAGATGGCGTAAGTTTCACAGGTGTGGTGAAGAAATCTAATTGCAAATAGTTACCTGAACAGGATAACTAGACCTTACATCACTTTGGGCTCGGTTGTTTGGAATAGAGGGGATGAAAAACGGATTTGGCTGCTTTCCTCAAGTCATTGTGTAGTCCAACTGGAAAAGCCTACCAACTAGAATACCCTCTCAATTTCACCCGGAAATTGAATGCGCAAATTATTTCAAACCGTGTGTGCTCAGCGTCGAAATCGATGTAACGGTAGTTATTATTATAATATTATTTTTTTATTGTAATAATTTTAGAAAATTTTTAGCTTGTTCTTCTTATCCCTCCTTATTTTTTCTACAAAAAGCAAAGAGTTCATCCGAAAAAGGCGCATGCGTGTAAATGGTTCTTCAGAAACAGAGTATGATCTTCCCGGTTATGTTTATTTACTGTCCAGGTTCTTCAGATACCCCACCCATTTTCTTCCTGCGAGCACTTTTTTCCTCTGTTTCCAATTAGAACCAAGAAAGGCGCTCCCAACTACAGACCTGTTGAAATGGCTTGCTGTTAATCGCATTTGTTTTGAAGTGGGTTGTCAGACTCGTCCGGGCTTTTATTGCTCATAGCCATCGATTTAATCTCCCTTTATCGCGCTTTCCGTGCATCTAAGATCGAGTTGTTGTCACCAGTTGCCATCTGTGCGCTGTTGCATATAGCATCCATAACATCCTTACTAGAGAAATATTCCGCACTTTCATATAACTTCAATTAATGTTCAAACCGAGGGTCTGAGGTGGTTACAAATATTGAGAGCTGTGCAGCTACTCGAACCTTTACGCCAAGTTTCGTCAAGACTGCCAAGCTGTAGCGTGTATATTAGCTTTCTAATAGCATAAAAATCCCGTTTTGTGTTCATCTTTCAAAATGGAGGCTTATTTATTATTTACCTATTCTGCATCTTTGGAAAGGAAACTGATTATGCAAGTCTTTTGATACTTACATGAAAGATGAAAGAATTGACCATTTACAGTTTGTTTGGGAGGCTTGGGAAGCAATTTTGGTCTATATTCTGCTGTCAGCTTTTCGGATTATATGGGTTTGTCTAGGTCAGCAATAGCTCCTTGATTGGTTTAAAGGAGGGATTTTCCTTGTGCTTTCGCGTCCACTATGAAGCACTCCTTAGTTATCGTCACTTTTGCTCATTTACTGGGTACTACTCTGATTTTGCTATGCCTTAGTGTCACCTACTCGATTTCATTGCCTCTGCCTGTGTACGGTGTCAAGAAAGAACCTGCTACTCATGACATGAAGATTGGTGATAGTGTAAACTTACATCTGCTGAATTTCAGGTACAACTTCGATCCTTTTCAACAGCCGTGCACAGTGTGAATACAAATGTACAATACAAAGCCGATTTTTGAACTCTTTCTTGCTTTTTGTTAGTTTTTTTTAGAATACGTTTTGGAGTATTCTTAACTGATCGCGTGTTGTCATCCTTAACAATATGTCATTTTTGAATAATCGCCTGTATAATACCCTAAATAATGTCGTGTAAAAATATCGTTCCATTCCGCAATATTCTACTGATCATTTCAATTTCATCATTTTTTATTCTCATAGTTGCCCTATTTGGCAGTGTATCTGATGAATCATACTGTAGATGACTTAATGATTTCGTTGTGTAGGACATATGAATAGATCGCTTACCAAGTGGGGTCATCGGTACCTTTAATCTGGGGCCATTACCACACTTGTGTTGTTCATTGCGTAAGATGCTGAGAATTATCCCTGTGGCTGAGAGCAAAGCGACAAAAGGCCCTTTCCTCTTTTTGAACTCGCCCCAGTCCTACCTACCTAGAGAAATTATACGATGATCATTGACGTCTTAGGCTAAGGTTGAGCTTCTCTGATACGCGCTGGCAACAGATGTGATGGCTTTGACAGACCATTTGGTAGGCTATTTTGGATAATCTCTGCCCGCCCTATATCATTTTGATGAGACAGATTTGCCGATGACTAGGGTCATGTTCGGTAGTGATATATTGTAGAGTTAGAAATATTGGAAAAGCTATTTAAGGCACAAGCCTGAAGGTCATTGAAAATTATGATTACGGTAGGGGTAATTGAATGAGTTATAAGAAGCGCTGAATTAAATTACGGTCGCTTTTTGTGTGCAACGTCGTCGTGTACAGATGGCCAAATAGCTCTAATTGTTGGTGTCATCCCTGAACGCCTTCTCATCCTCCCAATCATCCCAATTACATGACATCGTGTTCAGTAAGGAAATGTCAGAGTCGTAAGGAACTCGGAAGATTGAGACCTCAATAGCTTGTAGTGTAATTGGTTATGAGTAAGTGAGATGTAATTAGAGGTTACGAGAGGTTGTGGTCGGTCAACTTGGCTTTTGTTCTGGCAATGTATGTAATACTTGGTAAAAGTTGGTGTCAAATTAGGCTCGTTTGTAGCTCGCAGTTGGGCGTCTTAGAAGTTGCCGAGTGATGAGATCAGAAGTTCTATGAGTGCACATATTGAACACTCAAACTCTTCCTTTTAAAAGTTGGCTCAGATTTTGTTGGTCAAGCAGTGTTGGCGAGATAAGGATTATACTGCGGTTTATACTTGTATATACTCATTCATGTTTTCAGCAAAAGCACCGGTTGAACTACGGCAATTTCGCCCTGACAATCAGGATATATTCAATGCCTATGGAATATTTCTAGTCACCTTGTTGAAGATACAAATCATTGGCATTCATGCCTCGCAGCTGGGAGGATGTATTAAAGATGCAGAGTCCGATTGGGTCTATGTTCTGCTAACTGGATGTTCAGTTAGAGTTGTTAGTTTCGGTATAGTTCCACGTCGTTAATGAAATGTCAAGAAGGAGCTTAGAAAACGACTGGTCGATTCAGCATAAAAAAAACTGCCAGTGACCAATCTGTCCATTCGGCATTGCTACGATCTCCTCTACGGATTAATACATTTTTTCGTTTTCTTTACGGGATAACGGGGCTCTAATAAATAAATAATAAGCTGAAAAGTGATAAATAGTGCTTAGATACGAAAAAGNAAAAAAAAAACTGCCAGTGACCAATCTGTCCATTCGGCATTGCTACGATCTCCTCTACGGATTAATACATTTTTTCGTTTCCTTTACGGGATAACGGGGCTCTAATAAGTAAAGGCCAAAACGGTTGTACAGTACCGATATTATTGATCCATCACTAGTTCATTTCAATGGATTTGGATCCTGCATGTATTGCCCACTGTATTCAAAAGCGTAAATGTAGGAACCATGTTTTGGCGGCTAGAAAACAAATGTCTGGAGCGAAGGGTAAAGGCATATCTTATGATAGCTCAAGTTTTGGGTACCCTTTCCAAGCTGAAAAGTGATAAATAGTGCTTAGATACGAAAAAGAAAAAAGAAAGAAAAAAATTAGCAAAATTTGGGCAATATAAGGCTTCCCGAAAGTAGTGGAAATGGAGGGTTGTACGAGACCACCATAGCGGAGTGGTATTTTAAAGGTACTCGAACTAGATTTCACTTGGACTAGATTTCAATTGTGTGCGATTGCATAAAAAGCTAACTACAGTAATGGATTATCTGTCTTAGGCTGTCTCCATAAAGCACGATTAGTCTGAAAATTTTCAACATGCGTGCTCCATTGTGAACGGTGCAGCTTCAAGAACGCCGTTAAAACACGTCCAGCTTTTTGTATGGTCAAGGATGAAAACTGTCTTTGAGTACCTATTGCATCCTATCTAGACCATTTTTCGCCCGAGAGCGTCCCTAATAGCATACATAAGAGCTACAGGTTCGTCCTAGTTGGAATTCTTGAAAAGCTTTCTCATCATAACTCTTCCTTCAAAGGCGCACAGAGAGTATGAGCTAGTTGTAATAGTGTGCCACTATCATTTGTAAATCTAACACCACACATATGACTACTTCCCGGCACGAACTNTCTCGCGAATCCCTCTGTAAAGGTTCTACTTCAAGGCTCATGCCGCCTACTATCGCAGGATATGGGTAAGTGATTTGAGAATGAGACTTGGATGTTGGTGGATATGACCATGCAATTTTGTGAGCTTTTAATGTCGAACTAACTTATGGGAATACGGCAAAGATCAACTAGGAATTGAACATGCTTCAAGCTTCTTTTTCACTCCCAAAGTTATCTTTTCTCGTGAGGATTCGAGTCGGTCTACTTACTAGGGGAGGTAATCATTCAAAGCACCTGATCGTTGACTGACCTCTAAAGGAGTAGGAGGAAAAAGCAAAAATTAGTTGCGATAGGGTTTCGTTTGGTTTCATAGTTGGATGTTGGTAGTTGCCGTTACGAAAAGGCCTCCTATTTTGCAAGACTCAGTACAGGCAAAAGTTTTCAGTATTTGGCTTTCGCAGTTATAACTAAATTCTATGTTTTCAAAGTAAAAGGTAGGCAGATAGGAGAAAAGTAAAACCTTTGTAGATTTCGAAACTTCACTCGATTTGCTTTCTCATTATGAGCTCCGTGTAGCACTTCCCTATTGACTCCGGTTCAGGCTGAAGTTTCCACCACAAGGGTGAATTCCGTCAAATAGCTTGATTCCTCCATATCCGAAGAGCAATTACGGAAACAGAGATAAGATATTTTTTTGTGAAAATATTCTGTGAGTCAAAGGAAAATGTCCTTCCAATATGACAGCATACCACTCAAAGTTGTTCTTTGCCCACTGTCGAAAGTCCAATCAAGAAGTGAAGTTCCGTTGGAGTTGTTCAGTCGCATTGTGAGATGTCCCTATTCGCAGGCACCACTCCTTTGAGCTGATCCTTAGATATCTCCACATTGCCCTGCAAACAACCCCTTAGAACTGCCGCCCGGATTTACGTTGAGGAAATCTGACAGTTTCTGCGAAAAACGCCTCATCGTACAATTAGCGATCAGCCATTAGGTAATGCTTTGAATTGCCTCCAATTTGAGCTAAATGCTGGTCGAATGGTTGCCTAATGAAACACAAGGTATTACATAAGAGACGATTGACCGTAGCGCGTCGAGTTACAGTGCGACGGCTGAGCAGGTGTACTGTGTGACTGAGGCGGACGGAGATTAGCAGGAATTAACTGCTGCTCACTAAACACTGCGCTAATGGGATCAGCATCGGTGTGTCTATGTTAGCGCATTCTTTCAAACGAAAAAAAACGAACTCGTCCATCACCACTCGGGCTTCAATTCGAATAGCCACAACGAATGCGAACGATGACGACAACGACGTTGTGCTCAATGGGGCGCGAGAATGGGTCATGTAAATCAAAGTGCGTGTGGACCGTTTATGGAGGTCTCGAATGAGGCGACAGATGGGATCCGAGAAGAGATCAGCAGTAGAAGAAGATTAAAATCACAGATACAGTTTGACCAGTTTTATTGGTTTCGGAACTGAACTGATAAGGTGCTTTCCCATTGATTCTGTGATCTGTGATTCCTTTATGGATAAACAACTGTCAACAGCCTTTGGTCAACTGCTTAAGCATCACTATAGTTGTATTAGGCTGTAGTTTGGCACTTTTCAAGATCTCAAATAGTTCCTGGTCAAATTGAGAGAGAAGGGGTTGAAAATCATAGTCCGATGAAATGAATTGTGCATAGTGGGAAGTTGGTCTTTCGGTTTTTAGAGTTCATAGAAGCGACCTAAAGTCACACTGTAAAAGCTTATCTACGTTTTATTCTAACCTAACAGGCTTCCTCCAGGAAGGTAGGGGATCAGTGAGTCGTACTCTATGTTTGAAGTAGTTTCCAAAAGCGGAAAAAGCATCTGAAGAGTTCCGTTGCTCCATGTTACGTACTCCGTCGTGGGAAATTATCTTAATTGCGAAAGAATGACCCGATTTTTCTTACCATCCGATAAGAAGTCCTTACGATGGCGTTAATATGTATGCGGTCTCAGTGTGATGCTAGGTCAAATTCATGAGGTCCGATTCTTTGAATTTTTAACGAATACAGCCCCTAAGACAGTCAATAATAGCAAAAAATCATTCAGTAGGCTCGTAAGTAGGTAAAAAATAGTGAGAACTCAAGTGTGTGGGACTGAGGACCTTTGCTTGAGCGACCTTCGATATTAAGGAGCCAGGAACAGGTGCACTTGCCGGGTGGGAAAGAAGGTATGAACAACAAAGTTCTTGAATAGGATTAATAATCCTGAGTAGTGATAAAGTATGATGATCCGGTAATTTTGTGCGGATCAGGGCTCAGAATGGGAAATGAAAACGTCTATAAGATTCTTTTCTATGAATAAAACTTCCCTAATACTTCGGAGTTCGAGCCTATTCACCCCGGCAGTTATTATATATTTATAGAAACCTAACTTACTAGTTTTTCGTCCCATTTCTTTTCTTTTTACTTTTTTTAGCTCGAAAGTTGAAACCATAATAAGAGTGTCTAGCCGATCACTCTCAATGGACCATGAAAAAGAAATTCTGAAGGTGTACACGCGGGATCATTGCGAATC